GACTCACTAGGGTGCCTGCCCAGACCAATGTCACCCCCTAATTCCTATCATCCTTCCGGCTCTGAAATGGTCTTGTCGGACCGAAAGAGCCTAACCCAACAAAACAAACAAACAAACAAATACAGACGGCATCACTCGCTGGCCGCGCGTCGGGTCTCGAGGGGACCGGTGACGGCACTGTCGCCGCCGTTGGTCGCGGTGACACGGGCGGCGGGAAAGTCACCGGACCTGCACCATAGTACGGTGAATGGTTGGGCCTTCGCCGGCAGTAACTATTTATTTGGGATGCGAGCTGTATGTAATACTACCAGCGCACGATATTCACCGTCTTCGCCGCGCGGAAAGAGAGGAGCCCACGGCAGTCCGGTAGGATAGGCTGAGTTGTGACAAGTTCTACCCCGAAAGTGACCACCTTTGGGGCACTGAGGGACCGCTTGACGTGGCCACTCGTCGGTTTCGGTTTCACCTACTGGCTACTAATTTTAACAGCAGGCGTTCGGAGACTGCTAAGTGGGTTTGTTCGTTATGCTTGGTTAGAGCATATGGGTTAGTCTATTCGAGAACATTTTAGGGCCGTGGTATGATGAATATGTAAATGAATTAGCGGGGAGAGGGCAATATCAGAATAAAGTCGACCATCGGGCACCGGCTGTGTGCCGCAGCGTCTCAGTCAAAAGACACTATAATGGCTGCAATGCTCTGAGTCAGGCTATGCTGGGATGATAAAACACGAGAGGGAGAGGGCAATGTAAGGTTCAATCAACCAAGGCTCAATCGGTTCAATCAACCACTGACGACTAGTCCGCTGTACCGCTGGGACGGCATTTCAGCGCAGGGACATACTGTTTTGACGGCAAGTCACAACGGGACAGACTAGAGCATACATTTGTTGAAATGGTCACTCCGAAGCTGACTTCCGTCGGTTGTCTGCTAGGCGGACCGTTAATCCGGAACACGGAGAAGTGCAAGCAAGGATGATGGTGAATTAGTCGTAATATAGGACAGAAAGCAAACTGGCTCACCAGTCAACAGTTACCGAGCACCTGACCAGTGTCCACTTTGACATTTGGTCGCTGGTAACACAATTGTACCGGCTATACCTATGTAGTCCTTAAAGTAGATACGATGCGGCAGGAGCTCAGTTGCTAATAGTTGCCTAATCTGCTATTTACTTGTTCGTGTTTAAGAGCTCAGGGCGCTAATGCATAGGTAATGTGTATTGTGTTATGTGTGATAGGTAATGTGTGGAAAGCTATGCGTTTGCAATGGAAAAACACTTGCAATGGAAAAAACAGCAATATACCAACACCAATGATGTAAAGAAATGTGCATAATTTAATCCGGATGGCTTTTTTACGTTTACAGATGTCTGAAATTAAGTTAGAGACAGTCTGGAATCACTGCCATCTAGCGTCAAAAGGGGAGAACTAAAGCTTCATCCTACGTCCGCAGCAGTTGGAATGGGGTTTACAAAAACCGTTCCGGGTCAGTCAATTTTGAGTTTTGAGGAAAATGTTGCGCCCAGATATTATTTTTATGTCCTTGCGCCAAATAATATGCCAGTTTCCTTGCAAATTTCGGTTATCGATACACTCTAGTGAGTAGGGCCGTTCTTAGTAGTTTGAATTGGTCCGGACGGTCTAGAGCAGTCCTTAGGCGATCGCTGGTAGTCAGCGTTGTCGCTAAGGTGATCCAATGTGGTCAGCATTGATCTTTAGGTGATCATAGTTAGTCACATTGGTCCCTGGACGACCGGGGTAAGACAGCGTTGACCCCCTGGTCGACCCAGATTAGTCGGCATTGGACTACAGTCTGGAACAGCATAGAACTGGGACAGGTTCTGTGGTCCATAACGCTACTGTTATTTACTGTAAGCTAACTTTACAACTTGTCTTACTTTGATATTCATTTTATTCTCAGCTAAATGGCCGCTTTTTCCATTTATCATTCCTTCCACTATCTCACATTCGGCTCATTTCATCTTATACGCTTCCGCTCGAGGTACTCAACTAAATCGATGATGGAATATCCCTGAATGGGTACTCAGAGACCTCGCGCCGCAGCCACTGCTGCATCTCATCAGTCTTTGTCACACGTGAGATGAGTTCCATGGCACTGCCGGCTAGGAGATTGGCCATTACCGCCAGCCAATCAGCGGCTGACGGCACGCCGGTCGGTGGCTGTGATTGGTCGCTGGAACGATGGTGCTGACATCTATACTTGATGCGATCGTTAGCGGGGAGCGCCCGAGGCGATATTATATTTTGGATGTTAGCCTACAGGCTACGGCTTACATGTTTATGAGCAACAGAAATGCTAAGGATGGCAGCATTTAGGACTCAGATACCTGTAAATGCAAAGCAATTAACAGTCAGATTCAATGTCAACCGCCATTTAATCGGAACTTTTGGTTTAACAATGCAATGACGGGAGATGGACTGCCTGTGACCTTGTAAGGGTTCGGATACTCAGTCTTCTATACCTCTTTAGTCCTATATCCTTGTCCTAGTCCTATGTCTAGTAGGTACCTACTCCTCTAGTCCTCGGATGCCTCTAGGCTCTAAAAATGGCTACGCGTTGCTAAGCCTGATCTTTAATATTTTTTTTTTCGATTAAATTTGAACTGCTTGTGCTTTTAATCACTAGCATGAAATTCAAACACTAAATATTTATTGACATATCAATCAGCATGCAGGTTCATACCTCCATTTAATGCTTCATAGTGCCTTGAATACAAATAAAGCTGAAGCCATGACATTTATGATTACTTCAACATATCGATAGGCGTTATCACAAGTGTATTCGCGGCCATTGGGGCGACGTAAGAAAAGAAGAAACCAACTGGCCCCAAGAACTTTAAATTATCAGTTAGCATGCACCTTTTCCTTGATGTGTAGAGAATTTACCATTATTTGTTACAGAAAATTGCATTTAAAATCTTCCATTTATGCTTTTTTCATCGTTTGCACAATATGTTCTTTTACTAAGCTAGAAACACTAATTAGAAATAGTTCCCGCATCATCAAGAACAATAGGGAAGGCTTGAAGTGAATAAAATAATTACGGAGCGAGCGAAGCGAGCGCAGTCTTTCCTTAGATTAACGGAAATTTCTGAGTATGAGCGGCCGGCCGGCCGGCCGGCCGGCCGGCCGTGGTCACGCTTTTGCGAGGCTTATATCTCAGCAACCACTTGACCGATTTACACGCGGTAATTTTTGTAGGGTAGCTTCATTCCTTCTACCAAGTATTGGACTATTGGCGATGCATGTAGCTGACCCCTTATGCACGTGCCACGTGCAAAACGAAGAGGTGTCACTTTTGTAATTGTTGCAATATCTCGGTAACTACTTGGCCGATTGCGCTGAAAGTTGGCATGTAGGTAGGCACCCACTAGGCAATGCATATCCATGTGCCAGAGTTGGGGTGCTGCTGCACGTGCGCACGTGCAGGGGTCGATTCCAAATCTCGAGAACGGCTGGACCGATGGCGCTCAAATTTGGCACATGGTTAGGGACCGGTTAGTAGGGTGCCGTGCAAAAGTCAGTTGGGACCCATTTTGCACGTGCGCACGTGCAGGGTGCCGATTCCAGATCTCGAGAACGGCTGGGCCGATTGTGCTCAAATTTGGCACATCGCTAGAGACCGGTTAGTAGGGTGCCGTGCACAAGTCAGCTGGAGGTACCCCCTCGAAATTTCGCACGTGCAAGGCTCACCCTCTCGCTCGCTCCGTTAGTCGCCCATAAGGCGTTATACTGGTTTAAACGGTTTTGTAATCTATTTGAAGGCACTTCTAAAATTGCCTGTAGAAATATTGAAGGCAAAAGTTCAACTTTTTCACAAGACGGATGTCTATAAACCTGTGACAACTATAAACTTGTGACAACTCAGCCGGTATTTCGTCGCCTACAGCCCAGCTTTCCCTAGTGACCGATAGAGGCGCTGCTATCGATGTCCGCCCGTGCCGCCTAACGTATCTTGGCCGGGTTTGCTAGACCATCACCATAATATCCCTAGTTCACATCCAGGGTATATTGAATTAGGGGGTATGTCCAAGTTTAGTATGCATGATCTCCAGTTATACAAATCATTGTAGTTAAGTATTAATATCTACATTACAATTTTTTTAAATTTAGAGAATGTATATCTCACTTTTTTCTTTTGATTGGAATAATACGATAATTTTAAATAAAAACTTTGGCCCTAGTTGGAAGCGAAGATTCTGGTATCAAATTCCAGTAGTAAATTCGATATGGTGACAAGCTGGCAGGATTCAGAAGTTGCGCATCTGAGTCAATTTCGAATTGTTTGCTTAGCAACGTTAGCAACGGACATTTTCGGTCAAATTTCGCCTGCTGTTCCTGCATTTGGCTGCGACTTGAGTGATTTGGCTAGTTATTAAATATTTTCATCAGATTTTCAGCTTCGTTCCAGTAAGTGTTCCATCTCAAGTTTTTCGGTATTTCAATTTCCATTGCGGAGATGCCAGGCTGTGCCGTTCCAGCCTGGCTGTCACAATGGTACGGCTGCACGCAAGTTTAATCCCGAGGGCACGAGGTATTTCTCCTTCCCAAAGGACCACAAGCTGGCCCTCCAGTGGTGGCACGCCATCAAGAGGGCTGATTCAGAGCTCGCAGATCATGCCGATCCTCTTGTGTATTCAGCCCATTTCGTTCCATCTGACTTCTCGGAATGTCTGTCCAAGTCTCGCAAAAGAAACCTTCCAGGCGCCATTCCATCAATCATGATTCCGGCATGTTCCTCGATCCAGCCTCCTGCGCGCACCAGGGACTTGACCAAGTCCAGGTAATGATTTGAAGTCCTCATTTTACTCAAGAAATTGTACTTATAAATCCTATTGGATCCTGACTTGATACCTACCTACCGAGGCACTGCGGCACCGCGTCAACCTATCCCGCCGACAGTACGGGTGGCTCTGCGGCAATGGCTACCTGCTGCCAGCACTGTCAACCCTGCAGCGCTACCTGGCCACCTTTGTCCTGCAGCCGGACAGCTCTGCCACACAGCTGGAGCTGTTGGCCAAGATTGTGCAAAACCTGACACGACAGGAACGCCAGTGCGTCGTGATGTATAATGAGATGGACATTCGGAAAGTGGCCTGCTATGATCAGCAACTGGATCAGGTCCTGGGACCGCACCGGCGCCTGCAACAGTTCCTGGTAGCGGGCATCTCCAAGTGGCAGGTGCCAGTGCTGTTCCAGTTTGACTCTGCAGTAACTGGTGCCACGCTCCTCAGCCTCATCCAGGACATTGAGGCTGCAGGTGCTGAAGTCGTGGCCACTGTGAGCGACATGAGTGGCTCAAACCTCGGAGTCTGGAAGGCTCTGGGTGTCTCACATGATGGACGCTCCTGGTTCCTGAACCCTGGAGACTCCAACAGGTGAGCATATGTATTTTCATGGATCTAAGCTGTTACCTGCAAGATGCTTACTAAGTTTGCAGATTGGGGGGGGGGGGGGAGGGTGAGCTTACGTTCTTTGGTTCTGCCTCCTGGCTGCTATACGTGCTGCGATCATTGCTACGTTCAAAGGGCTTTGCCTTCTGACTAGTGGTTTTGTGCCTTGCACTGTCACACTGTTTGAGACTGTTGTCAACGCTGTGGAATCAGCCATTTTGGTGTCAATGTTGTTAAGTGGATTCATTCTAATTATAGTTTTTGTTACAATAAGCATCAGATCTTAGTTATCTTGTATGCACCTCCCCTCCCCATATATTTGTGTCACTTCTGTTTTTATGAACATTTATCTATGCAAGACTAAAGACTTTATTTTGCATGTTTGTTTTGCAGAGCTAGTGAAGGAAAGTTTGTTTATTTAATGTACACCGATTGCACTGCGTTTATATAGAAGTTAAAGTAAGTATCGACTGGATTATGCGATGCACGAATGACGCACCTGCTATTTGTCGTGTATGCTTTAAACCTTGTTGCCTTGCAGTTCACTAATGATGCATGGTTTTCATGTTTTCAGGAGGGTGTGGGTCCTGGCAGACCCTCCACACATCATGAAGAGGGTGCGTAACAACCTCCTGGACCACGGCACCGCACCAGCCAAGGAGGTCTCCTCGACAAGGCCCTGATGGAGGAGATGGTGGCCATCAACGGTGCGTCGGCCGAGTACCGCGTCGCCCACAAGGTGCATCTGGCAACCCATGTTCAGGTGAGAAAATCTACACTACAATGTGTGACCTGAGATCAAATATTCAGTCGGCATGGCCAAGATGCTTTTCATGAAGTAAGTCAGACGTTTTTGAATGGATAGATTTCTGAGATCATAAGCCTCGATAAGCAGTGCTTGTGCGCAGATCATGACCACCCGATCGGAAAATTTCGTGTCAACGGCACAATTTACAGTCGAACATTGGAGCTGAACGCGGCCCACCCCGCTCACCGACTTTATCTGGCCTGTAACGCGACCACTGCCACTGACCGCAGGCCATATTACCGATCAGAAACAAATGTGAGCGCCCGTAGTGACTGGAACCCGGCTCTAATCGCCAGGGCGGTGTTTCACGGCCGCTACTAGCACGCTTGAGTTCGCCTGTTCCGCACATGTTAAAATTTCTGACCCGAGTCGTTCAGCGTCAGGTCACCAGGTCAAGTCAAGTGACCTAAACTGAAAAAAGTTGAAATGCTCACTGTAGCTACACCGACTTAACGATAGCTTTGAAACTTTCAGCGATTGATAAGAGTATCAGTATGTATAAAATGTGTTTCTCGGAATTTTGATATCTGTGACCTAGGGTGAGGTCAATTTTGCGACTTCTCGATTATACCTAAGTCAATGGGAGAAAATTGAAATGCGCCTCGAATGTCCTTCAAAACTCTCAAGCATCAGTTCAGAGGTAAACGTGACACACTGAATCGGGAACTTGCACCTATGACCCCTCTGAATGCTCCTGGGGTCATCTCAGGTCATGAAAGGTCACCAGCAGTTTTTTTTACAATAACTTTTGATAGAGACGTGCTAGAGCGGTCAAAAACGCAGATGTGTTCAGCTCGACGATACGGATCGACTGATAGGCAACGTTAACTTTTCCGGTCAGGTTATGCCGTTGACCTGAGGTCAACTTTTCAAAATGACCTTTCAAGGTCAACTGTTCATTCGACCCGTCTCGACTAGGGGAACACGATGCTGGCAAAAGAAATGTCTGACTCTCTTGAGTCAAAAGCTTTTACCGAAAAACTTTGTTCGTGAAAACGTCTATATTTAGAGTTTTTGCCCTCTTTAGGCTAAACCGTTGACCTGAGGTCAAATCTGAGGACGTGACGGCAAAAGAACGTTGAACGAGCTTTCGAATGCGCTTTTCCGCGGCGCTATAGCTCTGTTTGTTCCCGAGTTAGCCGTCTAGTGTTTCGAAAAATTTTGAATGAGACAATTTGACCTTTGATGACCTCTAGTGACCTGACCTTAAAAATGACCGAGCATTTCGGCCATTATTTTTGACGCTCCTTCGATTGCCGCTTACCGCGTGTCGCTACGTGGCCCAGGAGCCCATTTAGACGGGGGGGGGGCGTGACCCCCCGAGCATGACACGGAAAAGTCAGGCCACCAACACGGCGCGGGCTAATTTAATTGAATTATTTCTGGTGGATGAGTCAAATATAGATATGTGAAGTCAGAATGTCTAAAACATCTAATAAAAGCCGTTTTACGCAATCGCTCAATTTCGTCGTTTCATTTTCACCTAAAATAATGATGAAGGAATGATTGGCATAAACATTTTTTTTTTTTGCAGGTGAAGAACATGGCCCGACAGAAGGTGCGCCCGGCCATGGAGCTGCTGAGCGCCACCGTCGCTCTGGCCATCGAGCGTCACCTCGGACGGCGGGAGGAGGTGCGTGCACTGCGCGTCCTGGACTCGGGCATGGATGTCCTGAACGCCATCCACCCCAAGGACGTCAAGCCCCTGCGGCGAGGCTACAGCGGCACCACTGAGCAGGAGTCCGCCTTGACTGCGCTGGAGAAGGAGGCCCGGGAACTGCGAGTGTGTCCGCGGAAGGATGCCCTCCTCCCCTTCCAGAAGGGGATCATCCTCTCCGTGTCCTCAGTCCGTGGCCTGCTCCAGGACCTGAAGGCCAAGTTCGGAGAGCAGACCTATCTTCTAACGCGCCGACTGAGTCAGGACAGACTCGAGGGATTCTTCGGAATGGTGCGCAGCGGCGGCGGGTCGAACCTCAACCCGACGCCGACCGAAGTACGCTCCAGGCTGCGCCTCCTCACGCTGCTGTTCGCCATCCAGCGCGGAGTACGACCGCTGAGCGGCGCCGGTCCGACTGCGCCTGCCCCGGCGGTGCCTAGCAGCGGAGAGGAGGCGGACGACCGGGACCCCGACTGGCTGGCGCAGCTGGCGCCACTAGAGCAGGAGCTGAGTCAGTCTGCCCTGGATGACGAGATGGCCGCCGACCTGCGGGAGTTCGCTCCGAGCCAACACCAGCCGGAAGCCGATGACAACCTCGAAGCGGAACTGGCCGAAATGGAGGAGCTGCTCAGGTCGGTGCCCGCGCCAGCCGCCGCACCGCCCGCCTCCGGAGCAGTCACCGGCGCCAGAGATCTGGAGACGGGCTGTCGGCCAGAGATAGCGCTAAGGTATACGTCGCAGGCTACGTGTCGCGGAAGCGGTCGGCCGAAGACGGAGCGGCAGCGGCGTCCTCCGGCGCTGAACAGGACGAGCCGATGGGAGCCCTGTGGACGCGAGCCCTGTGGACGCGGCTGAAAAGCTTGGGCGGGCTGACCGTGCCCACGGCTGACTTCATGGACGTCTTTGACCAGATGGACGCCGCCTTCTCTGTGCACCACTGTATGGAGCCGGACGGTCTCAGCCGAAGGCCCGTAGAGGTTCGCGACTTCGAGGCGGTTCTGGAGTCCAAGTCCCGGTACGCGACGTCGCCTCAAGTCCGCCGGGTCTTCGCGCGCGTGCGGACTACACTAAGCACCGAGCGCGAGTGAGCTCGGACGCGCAACGGGAGGGGAGGAAGCGTCGCCAGTATGTGCCGTCCTAAGGGCGTGGACTTGCGGGAGATGGTGAGCGTCATTGTGTGAGTGCGATGACTGTGATCGTCTGTTTAATAGAACGTATTGTTTGGTTCATGGCGCTACTTGATGTCACGTCGGGCTGTTAACGTTTCTGGTGTGGAATTTCATATCTTATTCTTGTGGTAAAGGCTTCCTGAAGCATGTGTTGCTAAAGGCTGTATTTGCTACTGCCAATGATCTCGGACGTGCCCGTTAGCTCTAATGAGTGCCAATGTGTGTTGCTCCTGCTGTAGCATTTGTCTTAGCGATGTCATTTGTCTTCGTCTTTGCTAAATGCACTCATTGATTCGACATCATCGCCCACTTATAGATGCACCTATCTATGTGGGTGTCCTCGATCCTTCGTGATTTTAAATGTACCTAAGTGTAAATGAATGTGTGTCCTCGGCCGTTAATGATTGTGCAAATGTGCAAATGAGGAAAATATCACAGAGTTCCCGTGATTTTGGATTATGGTTTATGAGCGACATGCCGTTTCTTGAGTATCCTATGGCATCTAACCGGAGAGGTGCCGACATCGTGGTTGACGGTTCAGGTCTGAAGATGGGGGACGTTTTGAGCGTGAGTATGCCGTTTATGACAGCGATTCAGGATCAAGAGGAGGCAAAATGTTTTCATGGGCATAAAAACGTGCTGATACTAATCGGAGGTGTCCATGCAAATTGCGAACCCATATCGTTGGAGGGACCTAACTAGTAGTTTGAGCTACGCTTCGGGCACAGTTTGAGAATCCATTCTTATTTTGTGAAGTCAATGCATAATGTTTTAAAGGTACATACCTTTGTGACCATGTTAAGGTGTATGCCTTGCGCCAAAAAGCTACCTAAGCGAAACATTGATTGGTGACTGTAGTACATAGAAAGTTGTAGTTATTATAAAAGAGAAAATTGATAGGCATAGTCGTCAATCTAACACGGAGGTAACAACATAAGGGTTGTCACCAATGCCGAACATTTGGCGTTTCTAGGTTCCATAGAAGTTAATCCTCTAGTGGGGGGTGATCGTCAGCTCCATCCGTTGTGGATTTGCGTTTTACAGGATATCGTAGGCGGGCGCACAAAATGTTAATTGAACCCGTTCTAGAAATGAACTATTCGAAAGCAGGATATATACAATTTAGGGCTGCGGAGTCGGAGTCGGTTGGAGTCGACAGCTATGGCCGGAGTCTAAGTCGATTTTGGAAACTGGAGCTGGAGTCGGAGTCGCTGGTCACCAAAAATCTAGCGACTCGACAGACCTGGCAGGGCTGTGAAGTCGGTCGGAGTCAGAGGTGGAGATCTCGGGGGGTCAGGACCCCCCTGAAAACGAATTACTGCTATGTAAGTCAATGGTACTGCATCCAGCCCGCCTCCATCTGCCCGGCCTGGACCCCCCCCCCCTGACATTTTGACAGATCTCCACCCCTGGTCGGAGTCGACAGTTCTGTCCGGAGTTGGAATTAGAGTCGGAGCTGGTTTTTGAAAGCCGGAGTCGGAGTCGGAGTCACTGAAAATCCATAGACTTCGTAGCCCTTATTTCGTTTGCCTCTCATTTCTCAAATATTTCGTTTGCCTGCGCTTCTCCCACCCATTACATACTCAAAAACATTGATCGCGCTGGGATTCGAACCCACCGGTGAGGTATATGCCTATTTTCAAAGGCTTGGGAACATCATTTCCTCGCATGCAATCGAAAAGTAGTCCACAGACAAAACATTGAACTACTTATGAACTTTTCAAAAATGCAATACAGTTAGTTATTTCGTACAAGATGACAAAAAAATTGAGCATAGTAGATCAGAATTCTACCATTGACTCAATGTAAAACATGGTTACCTTCTGTCTCTTGGGAACACGATTTAGCGGTCCCAAATAAAAAAACACTTCCAAAAGCGGCAAAAGAACATGAAATTTCCAACAAGATAGGATCTCGACTTTCCCAGTTTCTGTCAAGAATTTTCCATAAAACCGTCCTAAAAATCACCAATTTATCATTGCAGTCTATGGACCTAGTATGCTTTGTATCCCAAGACTAGCTCGGGCTGCCATATCTGTTGGGAGGGGGCCGGTTCACATCGGTCCCGCCGAAGTTAGTTGGTAGCACCGCTGCTCCACGGCGTACAGTGGGTCTATTTAAGATCTCCAGAGCCACCACTTGGCGCTACGGTCGGGGTAGGGCGAGTCCAACTCCCGAGGGGAGCGAGGTCACCGGTCATTGTGGGGGAAGGAGGGAGGGGGGGGGGGGGGGTGACGCGATGCTATCGCGGCGTGGAGCGGCGTGGAGCGTGCCGGGAGTGGGCCGCCCGCCACTGCGCCGCGGCTGAGGGGAGGGGATGCTGGTTGGCATATTTACGTCTGGACAACGAGTTGCGGGGAAAAGTGCTGATTGTGTTGCAGTTTTAGGAGCCGGTGATTAGCCTGGATTTTTGGGTTACTTTTTCGTTCCAATTCATGTATTTCATAGTGTTTGGCTTTTGAATATTTTAGTTCTTTCAGATAAATATTACTTGCCTTACAACTTTTGTAAAAACGTTTCATTTTTTTATAAGCCGACGTTCAGAGTCCTAAAAATATATCAGCACTACAATCATTGTAAACAAACAAATGGAGCACCACTTGGCTCTGTTCCAAGGCGCTTTTTAATATCTGGTGGTTTTCTTGCTCTTGTACGTCGTTTTGTTGGATGTTTTGAATCCCTTGACTTATATCATATTTAAGAAGCATGTGACTGAAAACAATCTGAAGTATCCAGGAGGCTGACAGAGGTCCTGACTACTGAGCTATATCAATATCAAGTTGAACAAGTTATGAAATTTTGGTTAATAAACGCAAGTTGATCGGGCTCATAAATCAGCAAGAAAAAGTAAAATTAAAAGAGCTTATTGTCCAAAAACAAGCTATAATATTGCAGATCTTGGAGCAATACTGAAGAGCACGCTGAGCAGGATCATGCCAGAAAATGTTGACTGATGAGCGCATATTGATGTATTGGTATGAATATTGAATGATAACTTACAACAGCAAGATAAATTAGTGCTATCAAGTTAAAATCTAGAATGAATGGAATTGGGCAGTTTTACTATGCTCAGCTTAGATGCCATGCAGATTGTAATGTGCATCAGGTACTCAGTGTCTGGCAAATGAAACATGCGATCATTCCATTGCTACTGGAGGAGAAAGCTTGGATCACTAAATCCACTATATGTTGATTTTGATGTTAATCATCATCACTGTATTTCTTGAAAAAGGATTGTAGTAAAATTGTCAATGTGACAATCCATGCAACGATGTGATCATATTATGTGTTCATAGTCATTCGTGATAGTCATTATTGGTCCAATATACAATGGCAAAGCTCTCAGTCTCAGCGTTTCTTCCTGTGGATGGCCAGCAGTGACTCAGAGCTTAGAAGTATTAGTTTTCTTCACAGGGCTGGGATAAAAAGTACTGAGGGTAATCTTCCACCAAGGAACTCTACTTTGACATGGTATGAGATGTAGGCACAAGTAGGTAGGTGCTCAGTTCCTATAGTCAGTAGTTGTGTATGTTTAGTCGAGTTAGCTTAGATCAGATTGTTAGTTTTTTAATTTGCCAAATGTCCATAAAAATGTGACCTGAGCAATGAGCATACCTGAACCTGACTAACCTGACAGCTGACCTAACCTCAATCATCACACATATTTGCAGCCTACCCCCAAGACCTGCATGGCAGTAGCACCCAGTTATACAGGGTTGGGCAGATAAATTGGGACAAAATACGTATTTGCATTTAAAACGCCGTAGCTTAGAAATTTGTAAACATAGGCATTTCAAATTTGGATCACATATTGTCACACCAATTTTACACATTTATCACCAAATATGGTCACCGTGGTCCACCTGCATCAGTCCTTGTCGGTGCCTGGACTGACTGCACGCGCGGCGAGATCTCCCGTCTGAAATGGCTCTTAATTGTAGCCAACTGGCACTGCTGAGGCTCACCACAGTTACATGGGGACGTTCGTTAGACTCACCCGCAAACACGCCCCAGCAATCAGAACTTGTGTGGGCTGAGGTTTAATGAGGAAGGGGGCATTTTCCCTTGGGTACAGTTTGCGGGATCCTCCGTTTCAGGAGATTTTGTATTTAATTTACTGTATGCCGGGGAGCTGGCTCCTCGAAGAGCATCACCCCATGCAGGATGTTGCCTTCTTCCATCTTGTTGGTTCGAACTGCCGGAATAATGGTTAGGTACCCTTTAATGGCGAACCCCCTCCCGATTCCGTAAAATAAGGGGGCCCCACGTGACCGTCAGAAGTCACCGAGTGGAATGCCATCACCGATGTCTGCTGCATGTTTTTTTTTTGGAACTAATATCACGTCTTCTGGGCTGGTTGCGATGTTACATGGTGTTTGCAGTTGTTCATATGCTCGGTTATGGGGACACCATCGTCAGAAATGACCGGCACGTGCTTGCTCGCTTCTCCAAGCCCTTCAAGAGGAAACAATCTTTTTAACGTCACAGCTGCTTCAACATCTATGTTAACAGGTTGATATGCATCAATGCATAAGAGTACATGTTTGAGGTGCTGGTATATCGCTTTCTCATGGCGCGGCTACCTTCCCTGTAAGCTCGCGCCACTGTTTTCGCGAGGATCCTCTGATTTAACTGAATTTTGCCTTTTAACCCCCCTGGAAAACCGGGGGAGCGGCCGGTGTCAACGCAATAGGTATGTAATATTGAGTCAATATCATCTCTTCCTCCAACGTTTACGTCTGTTCGATACACAACACTTTCAGCCATTTGATGGAGCATAATTAGAATATTGGCATGCATGTGGGCGCGGACTAAGTTGATAGTGGCTTGCTTAAGGCCACGTTCTGTGACCAGCCGACTCAAAATTACAACGCAACCTGCATAACATGGAAAAATATTCATTAGCCTATATTTATGTTCAAAAATTATCTTTATCGCTCAAAAAATAGTCGTTTTAGAGGAAGTTGAAATTTGTCCCAATTTATCTGCCCAACCCTGTAGGTAGGTACTCTGCTCACCCTAACTCAATCTTACCTGCTAGCCTAACCTTCAACTTGCCAAAAGTTAGCTCACATTGCCAAGCTGTGTCCAGGGAAACAGTCAACTGAGGAACTGGCTCATTGGGTGGCTGGTGTGAGTCTGTGCATTTAAAGTGTTTCTTCTCTGAGGCTGCTCTGCACTGCTGTATGTCATGTTAGATGCTCAGAAAATGTGGGAAATGATTACTAAGCTACTTTAGTGCTTTGTTAATGCTCGAGACATGAACAAGTACAGATCCTGCAGGGTACAGCTATGAGTTAGGTGCTAGGTGAGTATGTTATGTGAATGTGCTGTTCCCTGTTTGACCGTAAGTATACAAACAAGCACCGGGTCACAGTTATATTCAATCTCCACATAAACATACAACAAAAACGGCCATATAGCCTAACTCCGAACACACCACAGATAA